GAGAAATAAATAAAATGAAATTCTCTTGGACATAATCATTACAATATATCAACCTAAAATCTGTATTATCATTTCAGTCAGAGTCTGTGTTGTCTGCAGCCAAGCATTTCATCAATTATATCAACAGATCTCCCTCCCCCTTCCATGGTAAGTACCAGGCAGACATGGGCCCAGGGTTTCTGAGCCTTTATTATGAAAAAAATATAGGTCTCAAGTTTTTAAAGTCATGAAAACAGTGTAGGCATGTTAAAAAGTAATGCATGTCCAGTGAGTTCTAGTGCATATTAACGCAGTGGTGGTATTTTATGTTTTATCTTTATTAAAAACTTTAAACATTTTGATATGCTTTATTTCACTTACACTGCTGTGACTTAAAAACATGTAATAACATGCCTTAGACAAATTGTACCCTGTAACATACTAGTATACTTATGATGGACTTATGGAGAAACTGAATTATGAATAACCTCTCCATACACAATTTGTTTGGAAGTTGCTATCCTCTTATGCAAAAAAACGATTGTTTCAGCTGTAGAGGAGATAAAGATCAGACTGCTATCAGCTGGATTTTTGGAGCTTAAAGAAACAGAAAAATGGGACATCAAACCTTCCAACAAGGTAAGACAAAAGTGGCCCTCTGAATACTAAGAATTGCCCTGTTAATAATTTAATCAGCTGATCATGAGTTATACGCTCGCTTCCTATTATACCTGTAGTTCATTCTAAGCCAGCTGCTGTATATTTTGTCACTAGTAAGAAGGAATGTGTAAAGAAAAGTTTAATATTTGTTTGACTTGTGTTGCTCATCTCTGCATACCTGTAGAAAATTACTTAAAAATGAGTAGATTGGGACTAAAATGTATAGGACATAGGAATGAAAAAAAAAAATATATATATATATATATTTTTTGGCCAGTATGGCTTGTCATTTCTCCCTTTCCACACTGCTTATTTCATTTATTTATTTATTTATTTATGTATGTATGTATGTATGTATGTATGTATGTATGTATGTATGTATGTATGTGGTGGTGGCGGGGAGGGAGGGAGAGTCGGAAGCTGGAGGGAGGGGGGGACCCATTGTTCCTCCTATCCCCCAATGGCTGAATATCTATCCTGATTGTGCTTTATATCTGTTTCCAGTATTTTGTCACCAGGAACCATTCTACCATCATAGCATTTGCTGTGGGAGGCAAGTACCGGCCAGGCAATGGGTTCAGCATTGTAGGGGCACACACTGACAGCCCCTGCCTAAAGGTTAAACTACCTTATTTATTATTTTCTTCTGTATTTATTTATTTGTTTGTTTGTTTGTTTGTTACAGTAACCAGAAGGTGCACATTTTACATAAAATCATGTTAATTCAAAGTATACCTTAGATGATGATGTAACAATGATGATAGAAGTAAAAATTCAAAAGATTTATTCGACAGCCAAACAATCGAGTACACCAACTATGGTTTTAGTTGAAGAAACTATGATATTCATAGACTTACTTTGTAACAAACTAATTTGAAAGACACCATTAAAAATATTTTCAAGAGTACAATTTTGCTGTTGACTGAAGAAAACATTGTGATAAATGAAAAAGAACAATTATTTTACAGATCAAGCCAATTTCCCGGAAGGTCCGACAGGGCTATTTACAGGTTGGTGTCCAGTGTTATGGAGGGGGCACCTGGCACACCTGGTTTGACAGAGACTTGACTGTGGCCGGCAGAGTGATAGTGAAGGTCAGTGCTTACAGTAAGGCCACATTCAAAACAGTGGACTAACTAGTCCATGGGTCAAATATGGCAACCTACTAAAAAGCTTGCAGTGTAATCTACTATTAGATACTGAATAGATTTCGTATGGGGAAGTATTCAAGAGGGTCAGCTATATTTGACCCTTGGTCTAGTTAGTCTACTGTTCTGAATGTGGGCTTATAGGTGATATCTATATATGTAATAGCAAAGTACCTAAGTTGTTCTTCCACAATTTTTCCATGTTTTTTCTCTTTTTTTTTTTTTACACATAAAAGCAGATTAACACTTAATCTTTCACTCCCCCCCTTTAATATTTTATCAAAGTGACTTCCACATGAATTTTTGTGTCCATACTTTTGTGTAAAAGCATTCTCTGTCATTTGTGTTGGACTGGTGGATTATGTCCCAGCCTGTTATGTATTTCAGAATGACAGCAAATTAGGCCATCGCCTTGTCCATGTGAAGAGACCCATCTTGAGGGTGCCGAACATTGCCATTCACCTCATGAGGGACATGAATGAGAAGTTCTCACCTAACAAAGAGACACACCTGTAATTGTTTGAATTATGCACCAATTTTAAACATCTTCTTTATACCTATATACAAGGTTGTTCTAAAATGTTTTTAGCCATATAGTCCTTTGAGCCAGTACTAAGCACTGATTAAGAAAAAAACGAATTTTTTAAAAACCCATAATCTTTTCATTTACAAAAAAAAAAAAAAAACATAATTTCTGAAGTCAACATGCTCTTTTTCTCAGAACTTTTTACTAATCTTTTTCAAATATGACGTCCTAATAACACATTGGTTTCAAATTGGAAATTTAACTGTTTTGATAATTATCTTAATGATTTTAACATATACAATAACACAGTGATTGACATAACAAGTCGGCTTGCTAGTTAAATACCTAAGTATGTTTAAAGATCACTCAGTGACACATGAGCTATGGAATAATGCTCCCTTAACATAGCTTCCTGAGTTAACAATTTGTAGTTCTGCAATTTCATACCTGTTCTGGTATGCAACACTTACCATCCAGCAATATCTTGATCCCAAGCTCTCTAATGATAATGATAATTATATACATACCAATAATATACATGAACTGATTTCTCATTGTAGGCAGCCTATATTGGCTACCAGTATACAGGAAGAGCTGGAGTATGGCAGTAAGACAGCAGAAACTTCAGACTTCAAGCAGGAAGTGAGTAAGGATGGTGATTGGGAGGAGTTTGTATAATAATAATAAGTTTATTTATACATGGAAAACACAAGGCTAAAGTTGTACATAAACTTGAATAGGATAAGAATTACAAATTGAAACATTTACATAAGATTGGCATGTGTTGTAAGAAGGAGAACCACAAAATTACTGTGCTGGAAAATTCATTTCTCTAAGAATGCACACAGTGATTCAGAAATAATCATAAGTATTTGCTGTTTATTATAACTTATACATGTGTACATCACAATGTATTATATATTTTGATGAATTTTAATACATGCACCTTGGTGCTATGCTTCCTAGTAATGTCTGACATCATCCTAAAAGAACCTGTACTGGCTTTGACACCCTGTGGATCAGTGAATACTTTGTTTTCCAGGCTGATAAGCACCACCCTGTCCTGGTGCACATACTAAGCGGTGAACTCGGGGTGACAGCTGACCAGATCATGGACTTTGAGCTCTGTCTGGCAGACACCCAGCCTGCTGTAAGTAAAGGGAATTATCAGAAATTGATGTTTTTGAAGTGGACTGTTTTGCAGTTGGGGGGAGGGAAGTTGGGTGGGGAAATTAAAAAGAAAAAGAAAAATAAAGAGAGCCTTGTAATAACATATAGGTTCCATTTTAAAGATCTTACTTGTACATGTTGGTGTACCATGAAAGCTGACAGCTTTGAAAAGACTTGATAAAATAATTTTGTGATCATATGGTCAAGAAAAAATGTTTTTTTATTATTATTAATTAATTCATTGTAATTTCATTTAAGTGTCTAGGAGGAGCGTTGAATGAGTTCATCTTTGCTCCAAGATTGGATAACCTGTTGAATGCTTACACTGCAATGGAGGTAGGATATTTCAATTCTGTGATGCTCCAAATATAAAGTGCTGTCTTTTGTTTACTTGGATGATTTTATTGACTCGTGTTATATTTTTTACAATTTATGACTAAAATACATAAATTTCTGTCTGACATAGCTGAGGCAAAAAAGATGAATATCAAATCTATACCAGATGAATTCTTGGAACCAGTTATTCAGTTGCAATATATATATTATCATTTTGTAGATATTTTTTGGTAAGTCCCATTTTGACTTAAAATTTTTCAACCATTCAAACATTGCACCTAAACAGCGATTCCAGATTTTTATTGATAATTTGCTCTGGACAGTTATTTGTCGATATTAAATTTAAAATTAAGAAACATCAGTGGAAGATGCCATTGTTTCAATAACTGTAATATATTCTATTCCAGGGTCTGCTGGATGCATGCAATAATGAAACACTACAACAAGACCCCAACATAAGAATGATCAGCCTTTTTGATAATGAGGAGGTATGCACTAAGCTGAATTATTATTATTTTGGTATTTAATTTTATTTTGCACTTTATTGCAACATAAAAGTACCTTTTTTACTGCAAGATAAGCATATAGATACCAAACAATGGTCCAGAGGAATAAATGAACATGCATGATGAAAAAAAAAGATAGAGTAAATGGCTTACTAGTCTTTTTCTCTTCCTGAATAAGTAATTTACAACCAGTGACAGTCTCAGTGACAGTCAAAGTTGCAAACCATCCAAAAGGGTTAAACGACTTCTTACTCCTCCTGTAATGCTTGTAGAGATATTGTCTAAGATTTTCAAAAGTATTTGTTTTTCTACAGTTTACCCACATTTTACTTTCTCCTCCCAGGTTGGTTCCCAGAGTGCCCAGGGAGCAGGATCTACATTTCAAGAGTTGGTTCTCAGAAGAATCAGTGGCCCCACGCCAGGGAGCTTTGAGATTGCAATGCCAAGGTCTCTCATGGTCAGTGCTGACCAGGCACACGCTGTCCACCCAAACTACAGGTCAGTCCAGGTTTTATACCAATGTTATGGACATGTGTATTCCGTTTATGCTTACACAACTTGGTACATGTATACGGTGGCCATTTTCACAATAAAACTATAGACAAAATGTTATTCTTAACTTTAACAGAGAAACTTTGGTCAGTTTCTTTTCAGGAGAAATCTACTGTAATAGGTGTAAACTAGTGGTTATTTCTTGCTTGTGATAACACGGGTGCTATATTTCAATCAGACTTTTACTGATTAATCTTCAGTCAAAATACTAAGACTAACATTCTGGTCTGAAAGCGTGGACCAGCCTTTGTAAACAGTTCTAAACTTCTCTCATGCTACAGTCTCCATGTAAGCTAGTTTTCCATAAACATATATTAGCAGCTCACATGTTTCATGTCATTGCAGTGAGAAGCATGAAGACCAACATAGACCAGGTCTTCATAAGGTAAGCAGTCAAGCTTAGAAGTACACTATGTATTTATAATATAAAAAAGTGCATTTTTTAAAATAAGTTTTTATTGCTTCTCAGTGGAAATTAATGAGTGCAAATACCCTAGTCAGCAGTACATAGGATTAAAGTTTTTATTATTATTTTTTTTAATAAGAGTGCTTACTAAACAAGGTTTCCTACTAAATTTTGATATAAAGATTAAATTGACATAAAAGTATGAAAGGGTACAAAAGAAACCATGATGATAATAAGCTTGAGTTTATGAAGAATTCTTCGATGTACGTATTATGTCTTTTGTGTGTTACAGGGTATTGTAGTGAAGCATAATGCCAATCAGAGATATGCAACCACTGCCGTCACAGCGGCCATTTTGAGAGAGGTCGCCTCCAGGTCACAGGTCCCTCTTCAGGTATTACCAGTCCCAGTCTGTAAGACCTGTCCTCATTTACAGGGGTAGTTCATGATCATGTTTCAGATATTTTCAGATATTTTACGGGCATATTGATGCCTGTTACTTTAAAATGACTATATTTGAAGTTCTCATTGAATAAGTGGCAGTGCATGTGACCACAATTAAAATCAGAATTTTGTAAACTGTTATTTGGATGAAAGTAATATGGCAGTTATAGCCAACATAGAAACGAGATTGCAGTTGCAGTAAATGTGGGTCTGCTACTTATAAATCTATTTAGCTATGTGAAATTCCATCAAATCAAAATGTTTTCATTTATTTTCAGGATTTTGTAGTTAGGAACGACTCACCATGTGGCAGCACTATCGGCCCGATCATGTCCGCCAAGCTGGGCATGCCTACTGTTGATATAGGTGGACCACAACTTAGCATGCATTCCATTAGAGAGATGTGTTGTACCTCCTCTGTCCTGCAGTCCATTAAACTTTACAAGGTAAAGATTACAAGGCCATCTTGCATCCCTTTTATTAACCCCCCTCCCTTCCCCCCCCCCCCCCAAAAAAAAAAATATATATATATATATATATATATATTGCTTTCAAATACTTGCAAATGTGGGTGATTTTAAGATGAAAAGAACAAGATTGCTTTATTCCATATAAAAAAAATAACAAATGAACTTTTAAAATTTTAAAGCGTTTCATTTTTGTACATTTTCCTACACAATATATTCACTGATGTCAAATATATGTAAATTTGATAAATTTGGGTTATTGTTTCAGGGATTCTTCGAGTTCTTTCCAGAAATTTATGCATCTTCAAACCTCTAATCACTAGGCCAAAATCATCAAAGCTGTCGTACAATGGATTGAAAGCAGATATATATATACATCTTACCAGTGTCTTGACAGTGGGGCAATAAAAGACAACCAAAGGAACAGTTATAAAGACATTAAATTTCTGTCATTTCTGCTATGATTAGTTATACCTGAGTCAAGTTCTTGATGAAGATGGAAATGATCATAAGTCAAAACTACCCTATTATAGATCCATTTTTCTCTAGATGTTTACAGATAATTCTTTTCACTTTAGCATAAAACTAAAAAAAAAAAAAAAAATTAACTTGCGACTTTACACCTGCAGATGATATATTTATAGTAGATGGTCTTCAATATGTTTACTAACTACCTCAAAGCAAAATAGTGAATTTTCAACATTTCCTGTATATTTACACATTCTTTTTAGTAATGTTTGATGTAATTGAATCACTATTTTGTTACCTTCCAGTTGCATATGCATTCCATACTTTTTAATCGTTTCAGAAGAATCAACCCACTTAATGTGAAAATTGTCTTTGGGATTGCATTATCCCATACCATCTTTGCACTATTGTCTACATATTTATGAGACTTGAAGATTTGATGCTTAATTTTGTCCTTTTCTCTTTTTCTATTTATCACTTTGCAATATCAATAAAAATATACTGATATTCATTAAACATAGTGTTTTATGTATACAAAGCCAGTGATAGATTTACTTTTAAGTACACTTGTTTATGAGTGGTATTTCAGATTTCCCAGTAATTGTAATGAAATCATACAAGAACCTGTTCTCTTTGTATTTGTCACACTTGATTGCTGAACTATTGATAGTTTTTGAAATACGTCAATTCATAAGACTATATTGTGAACATAACAGCTAGTACATATTTTAGAAATATCAAGTTAGACAGTATATATAAAGGCCTGCTTAATTTAATACTGCATAAAGTAGCATACACTCAACACTGGGCCATTTGATCGTTGTGATGTAAACATGCAAACTGTACCTCTAGCGAATGTCCATCCATTCTTAATGTCACTGGGGACATCATTTGAAGGGAAACAAAGCCCTCCGTTTAAATCTTTCCCTTTTTGCCCCATTTCAACTTAATATTTTTTATTCAAATTACTGTATTCAGACATGTTTTCAAAATTATTCTTGAATTGGTTCCGGCCAATAATATACCATCAGTCTTTTTGCAAGATCTTTAACTTACACCACATTTTCCGTACGACTAATAAAGTTTAAATGTTTTGTTCATGGCTATGTGGAGGTCACATAATGCTAATCAAAGTCAAAAACTGCTTTTGTTTGATAGAAAAATGCCCCCTACAATTGCACTAAAATGTTCCAACTACACAGGTTAGTATGAGAGAGCACTCCTTTAGTCTTGAGATCGTGATTAAGGATTTCATCTTCAAAATTCTCCAATGCCTGATCAAGTCTCCCTGCTGACTAGACTTAATCCATCTTCTTCTGTTTGGCGAGGTACTCTTTGTACTGCTTATCAGTCCCGCAGATTTTGTCCCAGTATGTGAAAGTGGAGGAGTAATTGCCCACAAAATTCATGTGGTGGAAATCATGGGCTTTGGCCCCTGAAAAATGAAGTCAGTGCATTGCCTAGTATATAGTTACAATTTTTATCATAGTGTACTTCAACCTATATTTTTAATGTAAGAGTTATATGGTTGCCATGGTTATATTCATTTGTGGCTTTTGATTAAAAAAATGCTTGTAATGTTACACAGGTAAAGATTTGAGATACTGCATTGCGTGTTATTACTTATTTTACATCTTTAATCCTTATCTGTAAGTCTTTTATTCAAATTTAGCTTTTAAAATTTCATTTTGAAATCGGTGCAGAATTGAAGAAATTGCTTGAACCCTTTGCTCCATCTTGCAAAAAAAAAAAAAAAAAAAAAAATCTTATTAAAAACATAACTGTTCATAGATGGATATGAGGAAGGGGGTGCATTATCCAAGAAACGTTTTTGAATCTGACCCTCTCCACCTCCACTCCCCCTGCCCATAAATACATAAATTTATAAGATGTCAAATTTACACACACATTTCGCAAAAACTAATATATATATATATAAATATTATATACAGTATATGACATGTCAGTCTGCTTGGAGTGAATTTCAACTGTGGCCCCAACTGCCCTTGTACATAATATTCAGATATTCAGTACATATACCTACCTCCATAAAAAGGGATAAGGTGAAAGAGATGGGGGATGTCGTATCCAGTGTGGACATCAATGGTCTCCATGAGGCGGAAAGCCACCCAAACCCACAACAGGACAAAGTGGGTGCAGAACAAAAGAATAGGGATGAAAAATCCCATGCCCAAAACTGAAATAGAAACACCATGGTAACTGATCTGTCATTTTGACAATTAGGGACTGGTATGTGTAAGAGTGTGTGTTCTTAAACAATGAAAAAAAAAATGACCCAATTGCCACTATGAATGCATTCTTTTTTTTTTTCATTTAGTATTGGCAAATTAATTCTATTTTAGGGTACTTCATAAGGAACTGGCACAGATTTGGGTTCAGTGTTCATCCCATATGATGAATTGTCAGTAACTGGAACCATGGCATCAATAAGATCCTGGACCAATTAAATAATACACAGCTCAGCTGTATACCACCTCATTACATATATAATGCAATACATCTTACCATGATAAATTCATTTCAAATGGTGTGTGTATGTGTTTTACTCTATACTGATCCAATTTTATTAATTTTTTTAAATGTCATTTCTCTTTTAGTCGTTTTTTCCCAATTTTTTTTTTAATTTTGTTTTATTTCATATGACTATTTATTTTTCATTTGGTGTGTTTGGTAAGACTGGGGAGACTTACTTAATGTTTCTGCTGGGTGGGCATACTCTGCAACCATACCCATAGGTGCCTGGGGAGAACAGAACAGCATTTGAAAATGAAGGTTTTGACAGAAAAAAGTTTAATATGCACTGATTAAAATAGTGAGCCCAGGTGGAATAATTAGTACAAATAAACAGCAAAAATTGGATATGAAATATTAGTTTTTAGTAATTTGTTCTGGAATTTTTCACACTAAGTCTTCAAAATTATTATACTGGCTAAGAATGTCTGACGGGAGAATTAAGAACATCTACCTGTCTATTTCATCAATATTCAAAGTTTCCAAAATAGTCAATAAATTGAAAAAATAAATAAATAGATAAATTATTTGTATATGTAAATATACCGAGTAACGGTGGTGTATCTTGTGTATATGTTTATAGATACTCTTGTGGTGGAGTGCCCTGTGGAGCCAGTAATGCCAAGTGTCCTCTATCACAAAACAGCCCAGGACTTGTGCCATCAATATATACCTGGAAATACAACACAGACCTAATAATGACCCAATAATAAGAAAATAACTATTAAGTTTAATTATTTATTAAAGGGCACCCTCAGATTCTAATCTAGTATGTGGTAGTTTCTTTACAACCTGAATATTAAAGATTACAGTAATGACTCAATCTTTTCAATAGGCAAAAATTATCAAACTTTCATATATATTATTCTATTATCATGAAAGATGTACTTCAATATATATATATATATATATATATATATATATATATATATATATATATATATATATATATAGCATTTGTGGTGCTTTTACTGCAGAGAGTTGAATTGCAGAGTACCTTGCTTTTTAATTGAGGAATGTTAAGTAGGAATATTCTAATTTTAAGAAATTATGACTTAAAAAATACAGTATCTGTAAAATTCACACACACCCTCCTGACTGAAAAGATAGAGAAATAGCCATACTGAAAATTCCCCTCTATTATCAGAGTGGCTCTGGTGAGTTTTTGGTAATCTCTCACTCTCAGAGTGTGGTTATTTTATGCACATATAATGGAAATATGAAAATGAAAAAATTAAGCAGACATCAGATTTGAAACTCTGAGTACTAAGGTGAAAATAGTACCGAATTCTAAAGCTGCTTAATCACCAACATTTCACCTTATCAGTAGTTACTAACTAGTACATGCACATATAACATGGCAGGAATTTTAGACGACTTCATACTTGAACTTTGGACTGGATAACATTGATGAACTAAGCATAGTGACTGAATGTCTGGCAATTTTATCATTTTCAATAGCGACTCTGCATGACTCTCTTGTGATCCAAATGACGATTACTGTGATCTCCCAAATTTAGAATTCATACATTAATTAGCTTCTGCTTGGTGTGTGCCTGGAGAGAGAGAGAGAGAGAGAGAGAGAGAGAGAGGGGGGGAAATTACCATGCTGGCATCTCTTCCCAACTGTAAGGAATGTTGAAGTATTCCGTGTACGCAAAAGTTCCCAACATTAGGGGGAACTGAAATGAAGCAATCAAACTTAATCATGTCAATTCATACAATAATGTGTCAATGTAATCTGATTAATAAGATATACAATCTTCTTCATAATAAAAAATGTGAAATATATCAATATCACATCTTGGTATTCCTGTATATGCAACAGAAGAATGGAATATCATTGGAAAAAAGTGAGTCGTCAAAATTTAAAAAAAATGTTTTAATGGTAACAATTAAAACTAGATCAGTTATATAAATCAGGTGACAGTCTACCTGTTGGCAAGGATCCACACACGGCTGTATGGCAACAACAACAACACTTACCTGTATTACATTATCAACATTTACCTGCATGAAATCATGTACACCCACCTGTATAACAAAGTGACTGAAGAGTAACATTTTAAAGCAATCCCACTGCCGTTCTTCTTTCCTGTCCTAAAACAAAGAACAACTAAAGATATTAAGATATATGCATGATTTAAGAATAGGTATGTCACAAAGCTAGGATCTATAAACTTAAGCTTCTTAAAATAAATTGAATCAATCCATAACTGCTGCATTTGCATAGAATGAAATGGATTTTTAAAAGGTAGTTTGTATCATTTATTTCTAAATATTATTTTCACTAATGTCAAGTTTCTTGGTACTATAAGGTCTCAACTTCAAGTAAGGGATCTTTTCTGATATAAAATCTGTTTCTTTATCATAATTGCAATTCATACTCATGACAAATCCACAAACTATGGAGTGCATACCCCCAGCACCAGTACAAAATAATAAAAATAAAAAGACTGGAGTCAAATAGAATACAAAAAATAAAGAAAAAAAAAGAAAAAATTACCTGTTGTATTTTGTATCTCTGCATAAAAGGTATGAATTGGAATAAATATGCAGGTAGACATATCAACACATAAAGGACCTAAAAATAAAAATATTATTATTAATTTTAATATATTAATATATATAAGCCTAATATTTGAAAAAATATGCAAAGTCAATGAAGCATTTTTACACTTGTACTTTACCCTTCTCTGTTCTGGCAGTGTTCTTTATTGAGTATACTGAAGATCGATAATCTGATTTTGAAAACAAAAATGTTTTGTAATTAAAATTTGACACACATTCTTAATCAAATTAACTAAGTAATTTTTTCGTCTTTTATTCATCTACACAGTCACTTACTTCATGGACAATCAGAGAGCCCCAAAGAGCAATTTGAGGCTTAGTGTAAGTGTCCAACATGTAGTTCCAGCCATTCTTCAGAGGGTCTCGCAGAGGGTTTTCAGGCAAGCTCTCCAAGTACTCTGTCGCTATCGTCAGAGATGACAGTATTGTCCCATTGGGATCCATGTTGACACAGATGTCAGCCTTTTCTATCAGCGTCTAAATTGTCACCAAAATCAGAGAAATCCACGCAACCAACTCTCCTGTCGGCTACCGACAACGTCTGACATAACAGGTAGAACTGCGGCAGGTTTGTTTACCTTTGATGCGAGTGCCTAGGCCGAATGTTACAGCTCGCCTGATTGGTCAACCTGAATCGCCTGATGAAAATCTGCCGATACCACGGCGCAGGCACATGCATGCATTCGATGTACAGTGTATACTACAGTCTAAGAAATATATATCTAGTCAGCCGACTATTCTATCTAGGATCACAAGTGTGCACAGAATTGATTATAACTGATGATGAAACTTAATAGGTCATGTATCATGATAACTGTATCGCTGGACCCCGACCCCCAAAATGTAGGCCTACACATGATAAGCCTACAGGTAGCTCTTAGACTACGGTTTTGAAATTACACACATATTTGGGTCTCCTAATTTATTTATTTATTTATTTATTTATTTATTTATTTATTTATTATTATTATTAGGCCTATTATTATTATTATTATTATTTATTTTTTTTTGGGGGGGGGGGTTGCTACTGGTACAGGCGCATAGGCCTAGGCCTACTAAGTAGGCCCTATATTAGGCCCTAGGGGGTTTTCTGGTAGCCTATAGACCAACTGCAAATTAATCTGTAAAATAGTAGGCCCTACCCGGGGGCGTCTCGATAGTCTGAAGGTTCATTGGTCCGAAAAGTGGTAACATTTTTATCGATTTTTTAATCAGGGGTTCATTGGTCCGAAGGTTCTATAGTGAACATTCGGACCAATGAACCTTCGGACTATTGAACCTTCGGACTATCGCTACGGCCCCCCCTACCCAAGCTATAGACAAGAAGAATGTTCTCTTGCTATTTTTCTCTCCATTTTCTTTTTCCCTTTCTCTATAGGCCTACAGACATAGGCCTTATATTTGGTTAGGCTACCTAGGCCTACATGTAGACCTATTAATTAGCATTCTAATCAATTGTTTTTTTACTAATTATCATTTCAATTGGCTACAGGTATCCCATCCGGATTTTTCCGACCAAATCATTGAAATGTTAATAATAAAAATTGTTTTATTGTTTTAATGTTTGGATTAGTAGGAGGGGTCCTTAGATAACCTTTTTCCCCAAAACCATGTCAAAACCACCTAAAAAGATGCTTATACATCTTAAAAACAAACTACAAAAAACCAAATTAGTCAATCTCTATTATCAGAGCTGCTACTTGGGTTTTAGTTTTTTGGAGAAAAATCGCTAAAAATACTTAAACTCTGTATTTTGTAAAATATGATGGTTTTTCATATCAATGTTTATGCTTACATTTTAACACAAATTTCATTGTGACTAACAATTCTGACATAAAGACGGACTAAATATATAGGAAAACTAAACTGAATGTTCTAACCCCTAGATAATGATTCATAATAGGTTCAAAATGACAGGAATTCAATAAGAATTCAATTCACTAAAAATTCAATGCTTTTTGGACTCTTAAGTCAGTTAGCGTTATGGTGGATATTTAGTTCTTTTCCCAACAACTTTTTCAAGTTCATTCCAAACTGTTCTGGAGTTAACATCCTTCTCTTCCCTCCATCAGTATTGAATATCCTGAAGACAGGACTACATTTTGGCAGTGATATGGATGTGTCTCTAGCGTATGAGACCCCCCCCCCCCCCCATGAAATTTTGACTCATCCTACAGAACTTTATCAATCTTATTTTATTTGAGTATATGACTTTTATCTTGTAGTAGGGCCTATGCATGATAGAGGATACATTGGCACTTTTTGCTAGTTTGCAGGTGAAAGTTTTCATGAGAATAGATGAAAATTAAAAATGTGTACTCTACCAAACAATGAATCCCCTATGGAAAAGCTGTTTATTTGAAATTTGGTGATATTTGATATTTTCCCAATTTTTTTACCAACAAACTTTCAAATACTAACAAAATATATGTCACAATGCAAACTATGTGGAAAATAATGGTATGGTGAATAAATATAAAATTGGACTTTTTCTTCATGGGAATCTAAATACCATAGAAAATGGAGATTTTTCAAGATTTTTTTTTTCATTTTTTTCACCCAATATTTTACAATCAAACTTTCTAATATTTCCAATATATTCTTAATAAAGTATACTTAAAGGAAAGATGATGAAATGATCATTAAATATCAAATAAATAGCTTTTTCATAGGGGAGTCTTTGGGTTGTAGAGGTCATATACTCAAATAAGATTTATAAAGGTTTGTAGGGGGGAGTCAAAATTTCATGGGGGGAGTCAGATTTTCATTATGAAATTTTGACTGGGGAAGTCAGATTTTCATGTTACACTGGTGTTCAGTAGAAACAGTTTTCGTTAATTTGCTAGTTTCTTTCAGCACAGTCCCTCAAGCCACAGCCTCTAGTTTTGGTTTCTTCCTCAATCTTTGATCGGTGTCACCTCACTGCCTTTCCATTTGAAGGTTGTGGACAGGATCTCATCTATGTTTTCACACTGATCAAACACAGGATATTTAACTGGATATTCAATAATTCCATAGTATTTTCTGCATTGCATAGCCAGAACCTTTGCCATTTCTGGTAATATCTTCTTTGTCAAAGCTATGCACTCATTCAGATGTGCACTAGCACATCGTTTCACACTCTCAACTACATGTCCTCAGTAGGCCATAGTTATCTTTCACTTCCTGGAATAATTCTTGGTTGAAACAGGAAAACTCAGGAGCATCTAGCTGAAAGAAATTCTCATTTACCTCATTTCTACTCAGCTCTAGATGTAATGATTGAAACTTTTCTTTCAGTTTTCTGTGTGTTGCACCCCTGGATATTGTTATGGCATGAAACTAATTGAATGCTACAAAAGCAGCAACTATTCTGATATATCCCAATGCCAGAACACCTCTTACAAGACAAGCTAGATGCCATCATTGTCTAGCTAGTTATTCAGTAATACAGTATAGATACCCTAAAAAGATAATGAAATCATGAGAAATCTAAAAGGAAAAATGCCATCAAAACTATTAATGATGAATTACCATGTTAATGAAATTGATATAAGGTGTCAATGCCACCATGATTTTGAATATTTCACTACCTTTTTACACAAATTCCCTAAAAACCAAATAAGAAACCCATCTATTTGGTTTTGGTGAGTCTGAAATAACTTGTCAGGCCTATATAACTTTCATTCATGTTGTAGGAAGACAGTCCCAAAACAGTAGAAAATAGTGCTAAAATGCTAAAAATCGCGTAATCATAAAATGCAAGTAGCAGCTGGGTTAACAATGATCTTTCAAAAAGAACATTTGAAATATTGTTTTTAGGTGTGTAAGGAACTTTTTAGCTGGTTTTGACATATTTTTGGAATTATGGACCCCCCCTAGGATTAGGAAAGATAACTGGCAGGATATGTAAGATGTCGGTGTGTGGTCTTTGGCTTATAAGCTGATGACTTAACAGCAGTGTTNATCAAAATTTGAGTGAGCGTTCCTGTTTAGTATTTCTGCTGCCGACCTTTTTAGTGTAAGACATATAGACTTTACTAGGCTGCTTACGATAGATTCAACATTTGTGAATGTTATGTAACTTATGTAGAAGGATTACAATTCGAACAGGTGTAGGAAGAAACATGATACCATTCATTACAAGGATTTTAAACTAGACCACAGATCTTTAATTCCTGCGTTGTTTTCGGATATGATATATTATAATTCATTATTGCTTTTCATGAATGGAAACGAGGACATGTCTTCAACTGCAATTATCATCTTACTGGATTGCTTGCTACTTCTAGTTATGTAGAATGCAATGTGTAATTTACTTTCTGTGCGTAAACAATGTGGACTTCTTTGCACGCTCTACAAGGTCAAGGTTACTTTCGAGACTAGTAAGCAGACGACATATGTCGTATATCGACTATAAACTGTTCATCAAAAATCAAGCTAATATACATGCATTTTTCTATGTATTTATGGTAAAATTAATCCAGCACACATGGCATGATCTTTTGCAAGTTGCCTGTAGGAACAAGGGGAATTTTGATAGTAATTGCAAAAACTATTGGCTGGCATGTGAAAAAAAAAATTGTCAGCTATACCGATAATGAATTTATAGCCTTCATTTTATGGAGTTGAACACAAAATAGCAAGAGATTTTACAAGATGAAAAATATTATGTATATTTATTTAGTATACTTCACAATATTTTCTGTTATTTAGTTAATATGTTTTGTTAGTAAAAGAAAATGAATCTTACCACTTGTCTCTATGCCTCCTGGCAAACCATCAAACGCTGGAGTGCTAGCATATATATTGACAATCTTTGATGTAGCTGGGCTTAGCTCCTGGGCAGGTGGACCCCCTCCAGTCTGCTTTCTTGCCTTTCTTACGTCACTATGTGTCCTTTTCACTGAAGAGACGAGATGTCTCCATTTCTCACGGCACTCTGTAGCACTTCTCATTGATACAGCAACTGATGACACCTCTTTTGCTATGGTTTTCCACACTTCCACCTTGGCCTTGTTGTCCAAGGTGGAAGTGTGTTTGTTTCTTATTACTGTGAGGTTTTTTTCACACAGTTCAATTAACAGAGATGTCTCTGCTTGACTCCAATTTGCTTTTCTTTGTCTTTTGCTTGTCAGTGTCAAAGCCGACTTGCAAGACAGAGAAGCAGGCGACAGAACAAGGGTATTGTGGGTAATATATTTCCCAAATATGGTATAGATCACTTCTGTTGTTAGCAACTATCATGGCTTTTACAATGTTTATAGCAACCAATTGCATTATGGGAATGTCTTTTTCCAAATATGGTATTGGATAAAATTCTTATCCACTGGATAACTATCATGCTGTTTATCCAGCCTTTATGAAACACAAATTTATACAGAGGATAACTATCCAGAGGATAAGAGATTTATACCTTGGATAGTGTTATCCATAGGATAGCCTATCCAGCCTTGATGAAACTGGGCCCTGTACATATTTCATGAGATGGGAATATACTTTGCTGTCACCAGCTACCACTAGATAGTCCAGATCTTTTCCCACTTTGAAAGAAATATACAAATGGTCCAAAACAATAAGGACAGTTTCAAATTTATTTGTGTTTTCATCTAATAGCCCAAGATAATTCTTGAAACCTCTGCCAGTTGAGGATACTTGTTTGCAAAATAACAACGCAAAGGAAACAGGGGGAATATCTGCATTCTTAACTGAATTGGCATAATTACTATAAATAAACAACCCCAAAGGTTGAAGTTATACATATATTTTTTTATTTTAAATCAAA